GCACCAATAACAATATTGACATGAATTAATTATGAATATTGTGAACTTGAGTTACTAGGATAATAAAAAATGGTGAAATAGGTAAGATAACGGAGGTAAAAGAGAAGTAAACTTATAATGCAATAAATTTTCGGGACAAATTTAGAAGATAATCCCCTTTAATAGCTTCTACATCACTTACAAATTTTTAATGCGGATAAATGAAGATGGACCCAAAACAGCATGCTTTATGAGGAATGCAGTAAAATGGGAAGAAAGCCTTAAGAATACTGAAGAACGACTGTAGGCTTTGAAATAAGTATCCATTGAATACATGCTGGAAATCGCGTTAGAGTAACTCATAAAAGTCTTAATAATTATTAAAATGACATTAGTAATGAAAGTAGAGGTAATAACAAATGATGCATATAGGACGTACCTCAGCAACTTCTCCCAAGTCGCCAAGACGATGGCATTCCGATTTGATACGTTCAACGGAAGCACCTAGTGAATAAATTAAAGTAATCATAGAATCAAAATAAACATAACTAAAATAACATAAATAAATGGCCAAGCAAAATAATACCAGTGGTTTGGGAAAGCGCCTTTATGAGAATGCTCTCTCCGATGCCAAGTTCTATGCCCTCATAAGAAGGGGCGAGACGATTGAGAGATAGATATACACATTTTGATAAATCATGTGGTGAGAGTAGACCAACAGACCGGAAAAGATTTGCGAGTGTCTCAACAATTTTAAGCCTGAAATATAGTTGTTAAAATAACATCATATGAAAAACAGGTACTAAAGCATTACCTGCTAGATATGGACTCTATAGCCTCGAAGGTTTTAGCAAGAGCTAAGTATGGAACCCTATGCATTTATATATAATTAAAGACATACGATTCTCCCTTTTTCCAAATAGCGTCAGTAATAGGATGATATTTTTCAACTACTGGAGAATAGGTCACCGCTTGGCTACTAGGAGATGGAACGTTGCAACCAGGTAGTAAGGTGTTTTCCGTCACTTTATCAACAACGAATGGCTGTTGAGGAGATATTTTTGATTCATTAAGAGTTACTTTTTCGCTTTGTTCGGGATTAAAAGCTGGAGGGTAAATAATGATATAAAGGAAAAATTACAATCAGAAGTAGGCTGAGTTTTAGAATCCGTTTTGGCAATTTGCTTAGCTTGAAACATTAATATGGCCTTAGGACTCTTCTGCGTTTCTGCTTTACGATTATCTTTTCGGGACTTGGTCTTTGAATTATCAACAGTCTAAAGACTTTAATAGGCAAAAAAATGTTACTCTTAAATCAACGATATTTTTCTCGACTTTTGTAGTTAGAGAAGTGCAAGGAGCGCTGAGGGATTCCATCTAAAAAGTAATAGAAATAG